ATGTGAATACTTGAAAGGCCTGCTTCAGGAGTATGAGACTTTAAGTGGCCAAAGGGTGAACCTAGCGAAATCAGCTGTCTACTTTAGTCGGAATTTAGAGGAGCAGCAATGTGCAGACATGGTGCAGTGTCTAGGAGTTGGGGCTGTTGGGGTTCAAGACAAGTATCTTGGCTTGCCTACCCTGATTTCTAGATCTAAGTACGATACGTTTCGCTATTTGGAGGAAAATTGCTTCAGAAATTACAAGGGTGGAAACAGAGACATCTCTCCTTGGCGGCAAAGGAAACTCTTCTGAAATCCGTGGCTGCGGCCTTACCGATTCATGTGATGTCATGTTTCAAGCTCCCTCTCTCACTGTGTCGAACGTTGGACAAACATTTGGCTCGGTTTTGGTGGGGAGCTCAGGAAGGGCAAACTCGGATTCATTGGATTTCATGGAGGAATTTATGCCGAAGTAAACACGATGGTGGCCTTGGGTTCCGGCGTTTTGAGCAATTTAACCAGGCTCTGCTGGCCAGGTGGGATGGCGGATTTTGGAGGACCCAGACTCGCTACTAGCTCAGGTGTACAAGGGAAAGTACTTCCCGCATTGGCACTTTGCTCTCTGCTCGAAAGGGGTCTAGACCATCGTGGGGCTGGCAAGGTGTCCTATATGGATGTGACTTGATGCGCCAAGGGCTGCGGTGGAAAGTTGGGTCTGGAGAAGCGATTCCTATGCTGGGGGTGAATTGGATACCTGGCTTGCAGTGGGATCAGGTGCAGGTCAAGCCTACGGCGCATTTGACTGGGGCCGAGACTGTCTCTGGTCTAAGGGCAGCGGAGAATGGTGGGTGGTGCCTGGAATGCTTGCAAAACTGTTTCCCGTCGAAGGAGATCGATGCAATTCTGGAAATTCCGCTTCCTACGGTGCCCATGGAGGACAAGATGATTTGGGAGGAGGATGCCTCGGGTAAGTACACTGTCAAGTCAGGATATCACTTGGCAATTCGGTGTAGTCGGGCTAGAGATAGTTGGAAATCAGAGGTCAGTTGGATGGATCGGAAGTTATGGATGGAGGTTTGGGGGTACCCTATTCAGCCTAAGCTTCGGTTCTTCCTCTGGCAGGTTTTCGGCCGTATCTTGCCAACTACCGAGAAATTGATATCCAAAGACGTGCAGGTCCTACCGAGGTGCCCCGTATGTTGGGCGGAAGAGGAAACGATAGAGCATTTGCTGTTATTCTGTCCGGTAGCGGTAGCTTTATGGGATGCTGCGGGTTTGCGCCAGTCCTTGTATGTACATCCGACATCTCACATTGGCATCTTTCTTCGGCGATTACTCTCAGCGAACGGGACACCGGATATGGTAGTACGAGTTGTGGCTCTTCTCTGGCGGATTTGGAAGGCACGGAACTGGGGTAGTGTTTGAGGGTAAGCAAGTGCTCATCTCTGTGCTAACGGCTCAGTTTCATGCACAAGTCACATAGTGGATGGCGACGCTTGAGCCGCCGCTTACCACGGTACGAGATATTGGTGGGTCATCGTCGCATATGCAGGGTATTTCACAGTTGCCACCAGGTCACGTGTGTTACTTTGATGGGGCGATTAGGGCAGGTGAGCGGGCAGCCATAGGGATGGTACTTTGTGATGCATCAGGGGCGTTCGTTAGTGCGAGAGGAAGTTGGCTTCAAGGTGTGCCGGAGCCAGCGATGGTGGAATTAGTAGCGTTGCGAGAGTCCGTTCGGTGGTGTGTCGGCGCGGGATTTACGACAATGCTTCTGGCAGGTGATGCAAAGGGGATCATTGATAAAGTCAGAGCAGGAGTGGTAAATGATGCGCTAGGCGGAGCTGTGTTGCTAGAAATCAAGTGGATGCTCCGAGATAATCCGGGAATCTCAGTGCACTTTGTAGGCAGACAGAACAATAGGGCAGCCCATTTAGTGGCTAGAAAAGCCCTCTCTTTGTCTCTGCGTACTTTGAGCAGTTTCGATTTTTGCGCTTGGCTCCATTAGGAGTTTTAAACGTTGTATCTTTGTTGTTCTTGGTAATACAAGTTATCTTTGGTAAAAAAAAAAAAGGATGCAAATATTTGGCGTGTTGAAGGTATGCACCTGAAGTTCACAAAAAAAACCACTTAATGAATATTAAACTTGGAACCAAGGCTTGTATATATCATTATATCCCTCCAAATCAATCCCGCAGTATGCGGAGAAGTTTATATAAGCCTTGTTTGGCCCTGCTGTAGCTTTTGCAGAAATAGCTTTTTGCTGGAGCTTTTAGATAAGTGATTTTCAATAAAAGCAATCGAGTATTTGGCTGTAAACTTAATTTATATTTTCTTTTTAACTCACATGAATAATCTCAACATTTTGTAATAAGACCTCTTTCAGCAATAAAAACACAAAATATTTGTAATAACGAGTATTGGAATTTGAAAAGGGTCCAATCAATCATTCTCTAAAGATTGGATATTTGGAATGTAGGATTGAGTTCTTCCTTATTGGCCGTAACTGAACGGCAGAGGATAGAGTCAGTAACCAATGGTTACTGACATGTCAGTATTAAATCCGGACCGGAGATTTAGGGATAACATTATTATATGGCTGGGCTGCACGCGGGGTGAGGAGGGGCATTTTTGTCCGAATTTTTTAAATTTGATTTCTTTCCATTTTTTATTTTTTCCAGAATTTATATATTTGTCTTTTAATGGAGAAAGAGGAAAGAGAAAAGCAGACTTCTCTCTTCCTCTCTCTTTTCTCTTTCTCTCTTCCTTTCTCTCTTCCAAACTCCTTTTTCCAGATCTAAATCTCCTTTCTTCCTTGTTCTTCATTTTTTTCACCAACAATCGATGAAGAAATGCAGCCTCCCACCTCAAATTCGGTGATGCTCCAAATCCTTCTTCTCTCAAGCTGCTCCTTCCTTCTGTTTTTTTCTTTTCTCGGCCTCAAAATCGATGATGCTCCACATTGTCAAAGAGGGGACAGATCTAGGTGAGTTGAGTTTGCATCTTTTGTGTTTTAGTATTTTCTTGTGAATTAATTCCGATCTTCTTCCTCTTTTTCTTTCTTTTTGCATTTGGTGTTCTTGATTGCAGAGGAGTAAATGAGAGGAGACAGAAGACAAATTTTTTTTTTCTCTCTTCCTCCTTCTGTTTCTCCTTATTTGAGAATATATATTGATATTACCACACTATACCATATGGTAATGTGTGCTAACTAAATGTATTTTTATAGTCACGAGTTTTATCATGGTGGTAGTGGGTGGTAATCGACACCAGTTCCGAGAAAGAAGAGTTAGAAGACAGTGAAGGGAGAGAAGAAAGTGAAGAAAGTTGTAATTGTATATATATATATATATATATATATATATATATATATATATATATATATATTGAGATTATCACACTATATCCTATGGTAATGTATATATATCATATGGTAATGTGTATATACCATATGGTAATGTGTCTATACCATATGGTAATGTGTCTATACCATATGGTAATGTGTGGTAACGAAATGTATTTTTATGAATATCATGTTTTTACTATGGTCGTAGGGGGTTGTAATTAGATTTACATGGTTTTACCTTCTCATACCATGTGGTATTATATGGTAATTATAATTAATTTGTGGTCCTTTGATTTACCATGTTCTACTATGGTGGTATCGTATGCTAGTTAGATTTATAATTTTCTGTAGCATGGTTTACCAAGTTATACCATGTGGTGGTAGTTTGATTTGTAATTTTATTTTAGCATGTTATACCATATGGTATGGTAATTAGATTTGTAAATTTATGTAGCATGTTTTACAACGTTATACCATGTGGTATTGTATGGTAGTTAGATTTTTAATTTTCTTCAACATATTTTACCATGTTTTACCACGTTTTACCATGTGGTATTGTATGGTAGTTAGAATTGTAATTTTCTTCAACATATTTTACCATGTTTTACCATGATAGTAGAAAGTGATAATCATATTTATACTTGTAATTAGCGTCTTTAACAATGTATTATTTAACAAAAAAATCATCATTCAATTTGAGCTGGAATTAGTTTAGAGATAGTTAGGATGGTTAGATTCATTTTTGTTGTAGATGGGAGAGAGAAGACATAATATATTTTTTCTTTTCATAATAAAATAAAACAAATAGTGAGAGAGAGGGGGAACCAGACAACCAGTGTGAGGTGGGGGAGTGGGATCCGCGTCGCGTCAGCGCGTTGGTGTCATCATTAAATAGGGGGTGCAATTTTACCTTAGTGCCCATCCGTGTTTAATTTAAATAAAAAGAAAAAGCTGACACGTGGGGACAGATGATTGGATTACTAACAATTATTGAGAGCAAAGATAATTTGGTCCCTAACTAAACAAAGAAACTTATTGGGTTGCTACTTGCTCGTAATTGCCTTCTTCTAACAACTTTTGTACTGGATTAATGAATCATGAATGAGTGGGTAACCCACGAATGTTCTAAAGAAAATGATCGTGCGATATCTCATTAATTAGGATTCTTCATCATAATAATCCATATTTAGCTTCTCTTAGTTGGTATGATTTGCAGTGGTGGGGAAACCACCATCTTGTCGCGTCACAATCACTACCCTAAATAGTAAATATCAATAAAGTTGTTTTTCTTCTCTCTTTTACGGTTTAAACCCCAACCCCAAGCTAGCATACAAGCATGCAGAACAGAAATGAAGAAACAAGTTATCTTCTCTTTCTCTACCATTAGGTATCCTTCCAATGCATTAACTTCTTTTCACCTAGATTGTATAAAGAGAAACCTCTTTTTCACCCTAATGAACCAACTTTGTTTGCTTTTCCTAATTCCTTATAGAAACTCTAACAAAAACACGTACAACAACTCACAGAAATAGCTTTTGAGGGAGTAATATAATGGGCAACAAACAACAATAAAGAAACTGTGTCTTCCAACCAATGGTGGTTTGCAAGATTCGTCATTTGTTATGATCACCAAGTTTCCTTCACATATATATATGTATCTAAAAAGCTCTATACATCTTTCCACCATTCGTGTCTTCTCCTCCCAAGCTCACAACTCCTCTTTCTTCCTCCACATATATATTGCATCTTCTCGGCCTTTTGGTCCTTCAAAATGCAATTCTTAACCGCCGCGAGCTGCATGTTTTTCCTTTCCTCTCTTCTACTTGTGGTAATTCCTTGTCCTATGGGCCAAGCAACACCACCCGGCGAAGGAGGAGGCAAGCTTCTGGAGCATTGTGGTTTCACCGCCATCTACTGCTTTGGAGACTCCATGTACGATAGCGGGAACGCCCTGGCCGAGTCCCCTCAGGGGCCCATGGGTAAATTCCCTTACGGCGTCACCATTCATCATGCTACCGGTCGCTTCACCGATGGCTACACCATCATCGACCGCATAGCCGAGGCGGCCGGGGTTCCTCCCTTGAACCCGTATTTGAAGAGAAATATGGATCACTCGAAAGGAGCCAACTTTGCGGTGGGAGGAGTGGGGCTTTTGTCCAAGGAAGCTCGAGCCAAATGGCACGTCAAGTTGCCCTTCTCCAATAGCAGCGTGGACATCCAGCTCAAGTGGTTGGGCCGGCACCTCAACCAGGCCTACAGAAATGAAACAGGCGAGTCTTTTTTCCTTTATTGTTCCGAAACTCCGGTGAAGTGTAGGATGGTTGAGAAATTTACACAAATATTTTTTTTGTTTTGTGCAGCTCGCCGGGAACACGTGGAATCATCACTGTTCGTTCTTGGTGGAGCCGGCAACGACTACCTGAATATGAACCTCAGCTTCAGCTCTCTCCCTCGGGTCGTCCAAATGAAGCGGATCATGCCCGCTCTCTTGGCAGCCACACAGGTTTATGTGAAGGTGGGTTGTTAGCATTTCATTTGTATATATATATTTCTATATCGTGGCAGAAATAAAACTTTGTTTAAGTCATTCAATTTGGTTGACATGCAGACGCTCATAACTGAGTATGGAGCCAGGAAGGTGGTCGTGCCCGGAATCCTGAAAGCTGGATGCAGGGTGAGTACTGGAGGCTTCTTCCATGACACCCAAGTTCAGTGCGACGAAACCCTAACTTCGGTCGCTGCACTTCACAACCGGCTGCTTAAACGGGAGCTCGAGAGGCTACGGATTAAGTTCCCCGACGTGGAAATTGTTTACGGGGACATGTGGATGGCAACGCATTGGCTTTTCGACCATTTCGGTTCAGCAGGTGAGTGAGACATACAACATACTTGTAACATTAATTCAATGAATTGTTTGTGATGATAAGCTATGAGATTGATGAGATGCATATGTTTTTTTTTTTTTTTTTCTGCAGGGATCCACCATCCCAACGAGAGATGCTGCGGGAATTCTTCGATTGGGTGTGGGATGCCTGGGGCACCATACTGCGGAAACCCTAGCGATTACATAGATTGGGATGGCACCCATTTCACGGACCATGCTTACCGGCTAATGTCCGACTTTCTGATTCCCCAATTGGCTTCCGGACTTGGATGTCGCGCTGCTGCCAACAATGTTCGTTCCCAAGGGTGATTAAGAAGAATTTTCTCTTTTATGCCAAAAGATTACGCAACGATTACTGCTCTCTAATAGAGATAGAATAGAATCTAAAGAGTATTCGATTGAGAAGCATAAACATACGTTGGTGGAATTAAGTGGATCCTGTCATGTTAACATTATAGAGAGTTGTATGAAAGGATGAAATATGTCCTCTACATTTAAAAAAAAAAACTATAGAGAACACATCCCCTAATCAAAGAACGCAGAAAAATCGAAGAAAAGAGCAAAGAATTGAAGTACACTTGGAATTCAACTCTAAAGCACTGGATATGTATTTATTATTGCACGGGTGTAATTTGTAACTTGGTCGTGAATGTAAGAATCAACTAACAAAACAACCAACAACATTGAACCAATTAATCACCTCGATCCAAGAGCTGAAACACTTACAAAGACTCGGAGGGTGCTGTAACAAGAACACTAAAAGTTGTCGATTGACTTGTTTCCCTCGTTTTAAAGCATTTGAATATGAGTACTTCCCTTATACCTGCAAAAGATGCTAAATATCGAATTATAAAGACAATTGAAAGGAGAATGTGATTTAATGATGACGGCTAACAGTCTGCAAGTGAAGGCAAATGATAAAGCGTTTCAAAATCGTGTTTACCTAATATTTATGACAAAAAGGAAATAGAATCTTACTGGTGTTTCTTTTTCCGAAGCTTGCGAGATGTCCGCAGTCACGGCACCAAAATTTTATAGTTGATTGTAGTGCTCACCAAATTTACCTGGTCCTTAGGTCAATATCTTATTTTTCTAGCGTCTCTCACATAACCCTAACTTGGGAAGCGAGGTACGATTCTATTGAAAAAGTGAGCTATTTAGTAGGAGCTATTTAGTAGGTTGAGGTGCCTCCGGTTTTGCATAACGTAAGAGTTTGGAAAGTAACACTGTGCAGAAAAGTAAATCTAAGGCTAGTTGATGAATGAGAGATTAGCAAAGGAAGGCGTTGCATATGCATGCTCCCCCTAGGTCTCTTAACCATGCGTCCCTTGATGATCGGTGGCCTACGAGCTTTTGATCTCTTATTTCGTTAGATCCCACCTTGTGTCGAAGCAGCAACCCGAACTAATGGTCCACAAGGACCCTTTGGATTTCTTGAGGAGTCACGTTGTTCGATCGAGTAGAACTTCTATTTCTAGTAGCATCCTAAACTACTTGGATTTCGATCCTTGCACCTCAAAGGAGTGCAAGGTCGACTTAAGATCTCATTCGAAACAACACATAACAAAATAGAGGAAATCAAACATCACACATGAGATAAACACAATCGTATTAAATCGAATATCGAGTTTACCTGGTTACAACCCCTAGGATTCACATACCTACGTAAATAAGGAACATAGTTGTCATGGGAGGGGTTCCTGAGTGTTCATCAATTGAAACGAAGACACCAGAACACCCATAGGAAATGACGTCGGTAACAGAGAAAACAGGACCTGTAGGGGCGTCGTTTCTCCCTCATAGGTTGGTTTCTTTCTAAGTCATGAGGGTTGCTCTGTCAGCAGAGTAACGAACTTTCCTTGACCTCTCGTCTCCTCCCATTTCCTATCTCCAGGGACCTATTTATAGGCCTTTGATTAGGCTTTCTAAGGAGATAAACCCGTAGCTCTAGCATCATTCAGCCAATCAGGATGCTCGAAGTACGTGGCCATCGAATCAGGAGGTTGCAAGATGACTTTCTGACGAAGTGGTTGGCTTTAGTAAAACGACGTCATTTCCGTCGTTTCTCTTCATAAAAATGGTGCACCGGGCACCATTTCTTCAAGGCGTCCTATCTTCGAATCCCAGCTCCAAGAAATGGATCTCGGTGTCCCCTGCGGCTTCCAAGTGACCCGCTAGTATGCTTTGACTTTAAAATGCACAAAAAGCAACTAAAAGTGTATCAATCATATAAAAGCAATCCTAGGGTTGCTAGAACACGCTTGAAGCAATCATAGGATAAATTCAATGTACTATGACGCCAATGATGGGAAATATATGCACATTGCGTCGTAATACGAGGGTCTATAATAGATACTTTTACGTGTCATCAGTGTGACACATGTTTTTTTTTGTGAATTTCTGTGGGGACTATCCTATGGTGATTCAATGAGTGAGGACAGGGTTGAGTCATATAATATGGGCGGAGCTCTTCCTCGTGCACTTTTTCCTATTGTACCTTTACGTATCGTCAGTTTAATAGGACTACTCGTCTTGTGATAAAAAATTCCCTTTCATCAATAGTTCGACTATTGGTCGACTGTCATGTTTGGTTACTATATCCTTATGAATGTCTCAACTTTTTCCCTTATTGGATGTCTATTCTTAAAAAAATAACCCCAAGGATTGGCCTAATATTAATGTAAGGATAAGAACATCCACCACATCCTTAGTTCAAACCTTGGGGCCAACAACTAAAATAATAATAATAATAATAATAATAATAATATAAAACCACAAAATCAATAATTGCATGAGCAAGGAAGCATAATATTATCTGTAAGAGTGTGTTTGGATATATATATATATATATATATATATATATATGGTGATGTCTTCGATACACTCACTTTTTTGGGTGCACTGAACGCACCCACTTTTTTGTTTAATCTCAACCCTTCAGTATATCTAACGGTTCACAATTATTAAAAAAATATATTTAATTATTAACTAATAAAGTGTATTGTATTTATTAAAACAGTTTTATAGTTATTGATATTTGCAGTTAAGCCCCTAATCCGGGAAAACTCAAATGAGTGAGTTATTAACTTTTTATCCCAAATTCCGCCTTTCATCTTTATTTACTTGCCCAATTTTTCCCTTTCTTCTCCCCATGCCGCTCCTACCCAAACCGAAGACCCCATTGGCCCGGCGACGGCCGCGCAATCTCAGGTGGATGGCGATGATGTCGACTCCGGCAAGTGAGAACTAATGTCGTGGTGTCTCCGATCCATCCACCTTTAGAATAACCATCCCGGTTGATGTTGGAGTCGACGATGAGCCAGAAGCTCCGATGGTGCCGCCGGCGACGGGGAATGACATGGGATGATACGGCATGATAAGGACGATCGTGGAGAACCAGTCGGCATGATAAGGACGTGGATCGTGGATGATACAACACCACCAGATTGCTTGCAAAAATTGAGGAAACGCCGGATCAAACAGAATTTAAATGAGTCATTGCCTGGTGGTATGTGCGGCTCGTGCGGTTTGATATGTAGAGGAAGGCTTGAGATCGATAAATGGAAATCGAATGGGGAAACTTATTTATTCTAGTGCTGATTGACTCTGGGGCGATACTCAGGTGTCAATTTTACTGATTATAGCGAAGTACATGAAATGCTCATTGGAACCGTTGCTGCTGTTAGAAGAACAGAAACAGAAGAAGGGTGAACACAGGAGAAGTTGTGTTTGATCGAGAAAGGCTCTTCTTCTCCCTGCAATTATGTTTATGGGCTTAAGTCTCTCTATTTTTTACTTAAGCCCGCAAGTGATTAATGCCCGAGCAAAGTATTGACGGTGGCAGAGGGGAAAAGAAACGACGAACAGGAGGGTTAAGTGAGGGACTTAATTGCAATTATCATTAAGTATAAATTATTTTAATAAATATAATATAGTTTATTAGATAATAATTAATTATAAATCAATCAAATTAATGTAACCGTTAGATATATCTAATGGTTAAGATGAAACAAAAAAGTGGGTGCGTTCAGTGCACCCAAAAAAGTGGGTGTACCGAAGTAGCCACCATATATATATATATATATATATATATATATATATATATATATATATGGTGGCGTCTTTGGTGCACTCACTTTTTTGGGTGCATTCAGTGCACCCGCTTCATAACCGTCATTATAAACATGCGATTTATGTCAAAATGATGTCAATCATCACTTATGATTTTTTTTTTTGACAAAATCATCACTTATGATGTGATGAACAATAACGAACATGAATTTTCACAAAAAAAAAAACCATTGAAGATTTACTTTAATTTGAAGGATTTAGAGTTTAGAGATTTAGGGTTAGGGTTATGGTTTACAATTTGGGGTTTAGGGATAGAACTCAAAATTGGAGGTCTAGGGCTTAGGGTAATCCGCTAATTAGTTGTTATCATATGTTATATCATCATATTACACTAATTCTACAAATTAAAATTCAAAATCAGACACCTTAAGCGTAGTTTTTTAGTTGGGTGCATTGAACGCACTGATTTTTGTGAGTGCACCGAAGTAGTCACCATATATATATATATATATATATATATATATATATATATATATATGGTGCCTTCTACTGTACCCCGAGTGACATCCCGGGTACCGCATACCTTGAGTATGAAAACAGTATCTAGACCTCGAATTAGCAGGATTTTTGGGTCTTATACTATGCCCTAACCCTTAATGAGTGAACCCTAGGTCCTAATTATCTAAATCATAATCTATAAACCCTAAGACGGTGCATTCCTTTTTGTGCCTATATTTGGACGAATAATAACCGTCGACTATTGTTTCTAATTAAATTGATCTTAGAGTATAAGATTGGGAGAATTAAGACCTAGATTTTGATCTTTAAGGGCTAGAGTATAGTATCATATCCGAAAGATTGGTCAATTCAAGGTCTAGATAGTGTTTTCATACTCAAGGTATGCGGTACCCCGGATTTTACCCAGGGTACCGTATATATATATATATACAAATATATATGTTAGATTGGTGTACTCCTGAGATATACTCCAAATATTTTTAGTGAGATATATGTATTTTGGTTATGAATTAAAACGAGTTTGAGATAATGATACTGTTTATGTATAACTGAGTTTAATTGCGGGGTGCGAGTGAAATGAGAGAATGAACCACCCTTATCCTTTACTAACTTCTGGGATACAAGGAGATGAGAGAAACGAGAGAGAGATTCTAGAGATAGAAGTTCCTTATTTTCTAGAGAGAATTTAGAAATCTATCCCCTCAACCACCACGGTAAATGCTCTATTTATAGGCTACATTTCGGTGGGTTTCCAACGTGATAGGACGTTTGGACAAGACAGGAAACTAGGGTATGACGAGGTCTATAAGCGAGACATGATTGTTTGTCAGTGGAACAACGTCGTCTTGAGCTTCTTGTTCCGCAAGTACACGTTAGTGCACGACCTTTGCCTTGTCGAGGTTTACCCTACCTAACTGAGCCTTGCCTTGGTATTCCGCAAGTACACATTCTTGGGAGCACCTTAGGTGTTTCCGCAAGTACATGCTTTTGGGCACGCAATAGGTTTTTCCGTGAGTACCGTTCTTGGGCGCGCCTTGCCTTGGTATTTCTTGTCCTTTGCAAGGCAATGAGCGTATGACTGCTGGCGCAGCTGGATCCGAGCCATGCCCCAACAATTGCCCCCCAACAGGGGGTATTGTGTGAATATCTCATCAGGTTGGAGCCTCTTCGTGGCGTTTGCGATAGTTATCACGGTTTGTTACGCGTGTCTAGGTGGCCCTTTTGTGGTTTGTTTTGGCATTTTCTTCTTGTCGGGTTCCTTTTTATTCCTGTGAGTTGTGCGATTGTAGCTGGCTTTGCTTCTTGAGGAGCTATCTTCATTCCGAGAGTAGTAGGGCGCCACCGCCTCATTTCTACTCATCGTCAGCCTATTGTTGTCCACGTGGCGTTAATCTATTCGCTCGTTTGGGCGGTTGAATTTCGAATTTAAAATATGCTAATGTGACTCTTGCGACTCTCGATGTCAATTTACCCGTTGCGTTCTCTCTCCTGTAGCTTATAAGTGGGGGCCTTCAGTCATTTGAAGAACACTTTCATCTTTCCAACTCTCCGACTTCCTCTCAAAGAAATCTTCTCTTGCTCTCGGATTCCTCTCCTTCATTTGCGACCTTGCTTCTTCTCTTCCTCCGTCTACAAGATCCATTTTTCAATGTCTAACGACGGTTCTAGTGCTGAGATCGAGGTCGTTATCGACGAAAAAGGTAATATCTCTGCTCCTTCTCATGATTCTACTGATCCTTCCTTGGACCTGGACGACTCCGGCAACTAGGGTATCAGCGAGGCTATGATCAGAGGAGTTTAGGCGATGCCGTAGTATGTCATTGATGCCGATCGTGACCTTCTTCACAGTTCTTCTGAGGGAGGTAGGCGGTAGGATCAGGAAAACGGGTTGGGCTCGAGTGTGCGGGGGTGTTGATCATTCGTCGCGATCACGTGAGCACCTTCAACCTATCTCCACTACTCCAGTGGCGATTTTAGACACAGAGTTTGATCTTCCCCTCTTGGAAGTATGCGGTACCGTCGGGGCAGAGCCGCATCGGAAATTTCCCCCTGTTGTCCGGGATATACTTCAAATACTGGCAGATGGGGTTTAAATTTCCGGTGGACCCCTTCAAATGCTCCATCAAGCGGCTGTCTCTTTCTGTGATGATGCACGTGTCGATGCTGCGGCTCATTTGTAAGCGACGGGGAATTGAGCTGACATACTTGTTTCGCAGGTTTTACAAAATGAAAGAGCCTACTAAGAAGAGCAAGAGTGATTGCTTGTCGTTGAAGCGTCGCGACAAGAGGCCAGACGACTACGTGTATGGGTCTCAAAAACTTGACAAGAACTTGTTCGAACGTTTTTTTTTTTTTTGAATCCTTCTCCTGGTGAAAGGGCCAGCAAATACGCGGATGAGCCAACCATTTGAAAAAATGGAAGCATTAAAGGGTTCGAGTCCAAAGTGGGGTCGTATGACACTTTGGAGGATAGGTAAGATATGTTGCTTGATGAGAAGATTGACCTCTACCGTAAAGGGGTCCGTGCAGCTCGCTTGGCGGAGTTATTTAACGATGGTTAGTCGTCTCTCCTTGTCTTTGCATTCTGTAATATTAACAGCCTTTTTATGACTTATTGTTGCAGGTGTAGGTTACTTGTATATTGTCAGCATGATGTTTGTCGACGAGGTTGTGAAGGTACCCAAGGCGCCTCGCGGTGATAGGAAA